GGTCCCTACGAAATGAAATGAAATGTGAGATCGCCTTCGGGTCTTCTCAAATTGTATTAGAGCTTTCGACTGATCACCGATTGCTCTTGACGAAATGTTGGTATTAAATGTTATGAGTTTACGTTTTAAATTATTATATTGTTTGGACGCACGTATCCTACTGAGTGTAATTACTCACTCCTTCAATTTCAATATTTCAGATCAGTACGGTCAACGTAGATGGTGGTTGAGCGGTGCGCGGGTTGCCAAGTAAAGAAAAACTTCGCAAGAAAACGTTTTAAAATAATTCTGTTAGGATTATGTGCTTCAATTTAATTCTGTTTAATGTTCTATGTTTACGCGACATTTTGTTTATTCAATTTGGTATTTGAGTATTAAATAAATCAAGAGTTTTAAATTTCGAATTAAATATTTTCGCTTTATGTATGCGATACGAAATGATATCGGTAACACCTCAAATTTTAAGTCGATAAAATTTGGGGCGTTACATACATGATGTAAATTGTTGATGTAGCTGTCAAAGTTGCATCTATTTTTACATGATTAGAAACTAGACGACAAGTAGCTGGACAGTTTTGCCCACCTATTATAAGTTATGTGAAAGTTATGTATGATATTAACGTTCATGTCACATGATTTCCATCACTTGGGACTCAAATTCATATGTTGAAATTGATTGAAGATATAGAAATTCACTTTTGAAGATTGTGACCTATACACATGTATGATTGAAAAGTTAGGAAGCTTAATTCTAACTTTTTTCTGTAGTACTTGCATTTGGAAAGGTTTTTGAATGATTTAATTTATAAATAAATGAAATATATAACGATCCGGATCTCATGCTCAAATCGTTATATCATAGTACTGTCCATTTTTTGAGGGTATCTGCCATTTTTACCCTTCACAACTTTATGTTGCTATCCCTCAAGATTCGAATATAAGACATCTAACTTATAAGAGACTTTAATAAAAATCTGGTACCAATTGAGGAAACTTATGAAAGACTTATGTTAAAACCTACCTTATGATATACTTAGGTTTGAATCTTGGAAGACCTAACAGAAAGTCATAAGGAGTAAGATGACAGATACCCCCTCAAAATGGACAGTCGTATGATATAACGGCTTGTGTATGAAGTCCGGGGCGTTATAAAATAAGTGGTGAATAAGCTAATAATACTCATGAGTCCATTGAAATTCATGATTGCAAAAAGAAATTTTTGGCCATTTAAATTAATTTGATAAATTTTTCCAAAGTAAAACTAACCTTGGTTGGTTATATTCACCCTACACTATTTATAAATCTCCAACAATTGTTTATTAGCTCTTTCATACCTTTCTTACTATTGCATTATTTATTATTTATATTCAAATATTCTATGTTAAGGTACTTTTAAATGAGAAGCAAATATTCTTTTTTTATATTTTTTTTGATCGCTTAATACATATGAGAGATAAATAATTCCGTTTATAGTCTGTTAAAATGCTTTTTAGATAGAAATTGTAGTATGGGATTAAAATATATGAATTAATGAAAATTGAAGAGATTAAGATTAAAAAATTGAAAACATAAATATAACGATGAAAAAATATTAAGAAATTTTAGTAACATAAACTGACGAAATATAAAAAATGTGATGTTAATATAATGTCCGTATTTGGTAGAGATTTTTTAGAATAGATTTTGCGATTTTTTTGGTGAATGAGTGGTTGAAAAATAGAAAAAGGTTATGAATTTGAGTGAAAATTATTTTATTAAAAAAAATATACTTTTAAAAATGAGTTCGAGAAAGAATGGTTTTAAAAAATATGGACCAAACACGGACAGTGCGTAGCGTTCCTCCTAAGCTCGTACCATTTTTTCGGATGATAAATTTAGTCCCTGTTTAGAACATATTCTATAAAATTCATTTTTCTTTAGACACATTTTTCAATAGAATGATTTTGTGGGTGATAC